GACCACACATTTTATTGGTCAAAAGATGTTGAACATATTGTTGAGGCACATCTCTGGACCATATTTTCCTGTGGCTTCATCATTTTGACAGGCCACATGCTTGACACAATGAATTGGTGACTACACAATTTTATGGGTCGACATATTTTGAAAATAGAGTTACACGATATTTATGGACTACAATTTCTTGTGGCCTCAAGATTTTGCAGGCCAAATACTTGCCACAACAAACTTGTGAGCACGTGTTTCAATTGATGAACATATTTTGAACATGGTTAAGGAACACATTGTGTACTACAGCTTCCTGTGGCCTCAAAAGTTTGCAGGCAAAATGGTTGACAGAACACTTGGTGACCACAGGATTTTTATGGGTCAACATCTTTGGAATATATAGTTAAGCAGAATCTCTGGACTACAGTGTCGTGTGGCCTCAGAAATTTGTAGGCCAAATATTTGTCAGAAAAAATACTATGGGCCAACATATGTTGAACAACTATAGTCAAGGGAAATGTTTGGAGCACAATTTCCTTGGGCCGTGGGCCTCCACATTTTGCAGGCCAAATGATTGACAACAGGAATTGGTGACTACGAAGTTTTATGTGTCAAAATACTTTGAACATGGGATTAAGGGACATTTCTGGACTACAATGTCCAGTGGCCTCAAAATTTCACAGTCCAAATATTTGACAGAAACAAAGGTGACTTCTTTTTTTGGGGGTCGACATATTTTGAGAACTTGATTCAAGGAATTTGTTTGGACAACAATTTCCTGTGGCCTCAAGGATGTTGCAGGCCAACTAGTTGACAAACAAGTTCATGATTACAACTTGTAGGTAAACATAATTTGGAAACTCAAAACTAAGGAAAGATCTGGACTACAGCTTTCTGTGGCCTCACGAATTTGCAGCCCTAACATTTGTCAGACAAATTGGTGACGACATTTGTTCTATTGGTGAAAGTATTGTGACAAAATATTTATCATGGATGACACCCTTTCCTCAAAAACATGTAGTCAGTCAGATTGTTTGTCAAACATTTGGCCTGCAAATGTTTGAGGTCACAGGAAGTTGCAGTCGAAATTCGTTGCTTCATAGTTTTTCAAGCTTCCTGTTCACTGGGCCGTTTGCATTTTGTCACGGTGATGTGTGTGTTGTCTCTTGGGCATCCCGAAATGTGGTTCATACTTTTTAGTCCTCAGATTTACTGCTCGCTGGGCCTTCCAAAACTTGAATTGATAGTTTTTCAGTGTTCACATGTTTTTGGTACTGGGCCCACCAAGTTTTAGGTTTTCCGGCTTACTATGCATCAAACAAATAGGTCAAGCTTTTAGTTTTCGACTGGGCCTCCACAAAAACATATTTTGCGCCACTGTCATTAGGGGAGTAACAATGTAGAAGCCCCATGGGTAATTGATATGTATGGACAGACATTTCAACATACAGTAGCGCAAGCAAGCGTAAACCAACGTGTTGTCATACACACACATACCAATATGTAAAACAGTTTTTGAATATTAGCCTTAGCAGCCTTAGCATCGACATATGTATATATATTTACACACGATATTGAGATGTGTAGTTTCGGAACTGAACAAATCCAAAACAGATGCCGCAGGAAAAAACATGTGCAGAAACATGATTGAACTGGCCGTGTGTCAAACCAACAGAAACTGCACATTCCAAGTCAATAGAAACTACAGTGCCCAAATCAATAGAAGCTATGCAATGCCAAAACAATACAATCCTAAAATCCGGGCTTAAAATATATATATATATATATACAAATTGATTATATCAATAGAAACCGACGAAATCAATATCAATAAAAACATACTGATTTCTATTGATTAGAATCAATAGCCGATGTCCAGGGTTGATCAATGCGTTGAACGAGTCACCGAAACTAGGTAATTAACCGCGGGTTTCCCCGGGCAGAAGAGGACATCGAAGGCCTCAACTGGCGCCGTCTTTAGGATTTCCCTTGTCAAGCAGAGCGCCGTTTTGGCAAGCGCCGATGCGTCAGTCCTCTCGCTCAGTTTGGCCAGGTCTACACCGGAATTGACATCCTTGCCGATGAAGGACTGCGTGGCGGCGTTGCGAAACATGTCGGACCAAGCCTCCCGGTTGGTGATTCACATCCGGAATAAGCTCGGCTTTCACGCCTTCGCGGGTGGAAGGCCGACTTCACCCTCTTGAGCCGGTTCAGCCATGACCGCAACGAGTGATATAGCCACTTTTAGTTGAACCGATACGCCACACGCAAAGGCCTTGTGAATCAAGATAGTCATGGCCATTCAATTGCAATAAACGGCTTCGGAAAAACTCCAACGAATTCACAAGATCGACAAACGCAGACCAAATTGTCGACTTGTACATGGATCGATGACCTTCGCCCTCGCAGTATCCTGGTTCATGTTGATATGAGACCATGAAGTGCCACCGGTACATGGAATGCTCGCCCACATCAACACGGGAATTTTGCCTTTGGGATTCAAAGCTCGTTCTTGACCTCGTCGAGGAAACGCTTTTTTGTAGCATGAGAGAGAACATCGTCATCTAGGGTAATGCGAACGATGTAACAGCCTTCAGCAGGACGACGTGAAGTATCACCAAGCTTTGACTCATGCAAGCAGCGTACTTCATTCAGAATGCGATTGGAGTTGCCCGCCGTGTTCCTGGCCTCGGATTTCTCCAGGCGTGGCGATACCGCGGCCAGCTTACCTAATTGCTGACAATCTTCATGAGCTTCAATCCCCCTTGCCACTCTTCGGCATTGGTGAAAGGCTTTGTATAGAATGTCAGCAGCCTGAAGTTCAGTTGAAACATGAGTGAGCTTGCAGCGCTTCCGTCTGAACTGTTCCGCCAACCACGCAAGGTTTACCCGTTGTGTTTTGTCTGTATGGCGAAACGCTGGAGACCTTCCACTTTCGAGGATTCGAATAGTAGCCTGATTGTCTTCAAGGAACACACCTTCAAATGTACCATTGTTGATGAGTGTAACATGTTCACTTCCAACTTGTTCATTCCTAACATAATCAAAGTCCGCAGCCCCCCGCATGAAGAAGTAGGTCTTACCAGCCCATGTGGATTTAGTCTGCTGGCTGGCGCCTATCTTGGAGACATCAAGGTCGACATTGTCAAGGCATTGTTGAAGAAACCCTGTCATATTATAAGTGACCACGGTAACTGGTTTGTCCATGCAAGGTTGATGGTCGAAGAGCTCGTCAATATATGAAGAACCTTTCGCTCTATTAGCCCCTCTTGGCTGATGGCGTGTCCCTGAACTTCTTCATGGCCGCTGCCGCTAGGAGGGCGTTACCAACGCTTTCATGAAGAAGTTTCCAGCGAAAGACAAGAAACAGTTTGGATATCAATACTGCTGAGCATCACCATCTTTCTCAAAGCATGGATTGCACTCCGTGTTGCTACTTCCGATCAACCCGAGAAGGCTTTTAATTGAGTGGATTGAGGCAACATGGATCCCTGGTCAAACAGTTGATGCCCTCCGTGATTCTGGTTTGTTCGTCCATCTTGATGCAAAGCTAGCCTCGGCGCTGACGAACATCTTGGAGGGCGACCTCGCGCGGCAGATTGACATCTTGAAAGAGCAGGAGGCGAAGGAAAAGAGGTATGCGAGAGGCCGTCAGATCAGTACGAACATCCGGCACGGTCCATTTATGATTTTGAGGATTTGTTATCTGTTTGACTCATCAACGAGGACTTGCGGAATCCTACAAGATGGGATTCAGTGATTGCTGGCATGGCCAGTGAACAGAATGACAAGAACTCCGAGGCCTCACTTCGCAGGCAATTCAGGAAGTGCCGCCCCCTCACTCATGACCTAAATGAATGCGCTGAGGAGGCACAGAAAAGCGGGTGGAGACGCAACCGCTGGTGTCGCAGGCACAGCCTCGGGCGAAGCTGGTGCAAGAATCTTCGACAGATTGTTGGCGTTGATTGTTCATCATCTGCTCAACCATCGCCCTCAACTCGTTGGTCTGTTTCTCCTGATCGCTGATGGTGCTCATAACGATGCGATATCTCATCTCGGCATCTTTTTCAGATGTCAAGGTGTTCGCACGCTGCTCGGCACTCATTTGGATTTCCCGCCCCATAGCGTCAGATTGACTCTGGAGTCCAGCAATGATCTCGCTATGCCGGGCTTCAGCAACCCGAGCAACCATTGGACCAGTGTCTTGATTCACAAAATGGTTGATCTGGGTGTTGTTCTGAGTAGCGTTGATCTGCTGATAGTGTGTCACGTCTTGGTTAGCCGTCAAGGATGGGTCGAGGTGCACGTTTGCAACATGTTGATTGAACTGATTCAAGGACTGTGGCATAGGGCTTCCCTGTGCGAGTTTGGACTGGGGGTCATACATGACGACATCACCATGCCAATGCCGATCCAAGCCGACGGGTCACCACAAAGCTCAGGCTAGATCGAAGCGATTCAGGGCCTTGACTGTCAAAAGCTTGTCCCTTCCTGATGAGCTCTCTGGCCATGCGCTTGTGAATTCACGCGACTGGTTGGTACGTAGTGCGAGGCATCATCACCCGCATGCTCATCGGGAGGGCAACACCGCGGCAGGGTGAAAATCCAGGGTCGCCATCCATGGCGCACAACTCTACACTGATCCGCTTTTGGCTGATGACCTATATAGATTAGGCAAAACAGCCTGAAAGGGCCAACATTCAACCCTGAGGTAAGCGCGCTTTTGTTGAGCCCTGCGCTGCGAGTATGGCGAAGCTGCGCCAGTGAGACAATCATGCGTTTAGGGTTATTAAGGTTGATAAATCACCGCTTGGCAAAATCCACAACGGATGCCAGCCCAAGACTAGCGAATGGCCCTCGCAAAGACAACGTGCGCATGGTAACTTCCGGAGGGGTTTCCCATTTACCCTCTGCACCAGCTAGGGGGTCAAATCGCCAAGCACGAGCCGAAGTTTATCTGAATGATAGTAGCCTTGGTAACTGCCCAAACACCGTCGTAGCCAAGGTTCAAGAGGGCTGCTATCACAGATGTAGGCGCTGAACGACCGCACGCTAATGTGATCAAAGGCAGCTTGAGGTGTCCTTGCCGCGGATTTACCTCAGCAACACCCCTCAAAACTGCCCGAGTGTAACTTCCAGGCGGTTGCCCAAAAGGGAATGTTCCAGCTCTACCCCTTGAAAACACTCATCTGGCCAGAAGCGGCTCTCTGTGTCAGCGGTCATGATTCTCGGCTGTCAAGCGGCCATCCACCGTTCAGCGCTTTTGGGCTCCTTTTGCGGGACAGCAGAAATGTAAGCATGCAGGACATGTCTAACCCGTTTCCGACAACAAGCTGTCGTATGTCTCAGCTGTTGCTAGAGTGCAGCGCATCTTTGTCGGCAAGACGCTTCATGTCTAAGCCGCTGCTTCTGCAGCGAACAACCTTAAGGTCCGTGCCGCCTGCCTAACCTCTGACTGGCGGTAACTACAAATTGCTAGAGTAAACGATCTCCGACTGTGCAATCTGCCAACTGGACCTGTGGGCATGGTTCACCTCATGCCAAAGCACATCTGCCCTGCGCTGGACCAAGAGATCTACAGCCGCTGGTGTCTGGCAGTAGCTCAGCACAGGCTCGCCGCCTTGGACCCAAAAGAAATCATTACAAAGAAACAGGCGAAGCAATTAGTTTCTCACATATATTCTGAGTTTATTTTTTGTAATGGTAAAAGCTCCCAATAAGGCTCCAGAGGTCCCACCGGACCTATTTCAATTCTAGAATAGAAACGTACGCCAACCTCTCCTGGAAATACGCCAGATGGGGGGACTCCGAACTGACAGGATGCGCTACTCCGTGCAAAGTCCAACCAAGCAAAGTTTAAGCTCAACGTTCCAAAGGAGTTCCTAGTTGAACAGCCCGAAAGTGACATTGGCATGAGCTTAATGTCACAGTGGAGTGCGTGAAGTGCACCAGCTCAAAAAGCACAACTTTTCAGCACAACAGTAGTGCGCGAAGTATGCTTTGGCAGCTTCACCGTGCCGGCGGAAAAGAACTCAATCCTACTCACACCTGACATCCAAATCGAAAAGCTTGCTTCATGTCCTTGCGCAGTTACGTTTACATGTTAACTCAAGTTGTGTACCTAATTCCATATACGTTCCAAGTAAGTGCACGCGTCAAATTTGCAAAGCAGCTATCTCAGCGGTGCAAACACTTGTTTAATGCAACTCTGAAAGCGGCAGAATACCACAAATCAGCAAGCAGTGAATACCCTTTTATCTCCCTCGCTGTGAGGGTAAGATCATGGCAAACAGGAATCGCATGAGTGGATCTGTTAATCAAGTACAGGGCCAACAAGAACCCTCGAATGGACCCCCCGCCGAGCTTGCGAACCCTCGCACTTTGGGCGCAGGATGGCGGAGTGGACACATACTTCACAAAATGTTTTCGTCTACAGATTTCTCGATTTCTTCAATCACGGCCAGCACGCTGGTAAATGTGGTATTGTGCATATACACTCTTATTTCGCTAAATGATACATAAATATTATATGTGTGTGTTCCCCCGGTCCAACTCAGCAACTACAAACAAGAGGGGGGGGGAAGCCAAAGCTCGCAGAAGTCCTGCTGGCTCGGCTAGCTTGATTGAGTGATTTCTTCCATTTAAGCGACACACAAGGAAAAAAGGACAAAACGGCTCTGGCTAGACTTTCCAGCGCTGAAGCGCCCACAGCGGTGGCAGCATTGGCGTTTGCCCTCCTCTCCAGGAGGGCATCGGCCACCTGAAGCGCCAGCTTTTACAGGGGATCCGCAAAATACAACAGGCAAAATTCCGAAAAGGCCAGATCGAGCAAGCACAACCCGCTTGTTATTGCTTGTTTAATTGGGTCAGAACCCTTGCCTTCTGGTCCAAGGTTGGATTGCTCGGGTCTTCGTTCAAATGAGCCATACTGAAGCCTTGCTGGGTTTCTCTGCGGACTGATGCCTGTCCAAGAGCATTTCCGCAGCGCCAACTTGAAAGTTGCAGCTTTTCCGTACAACTCGCTTATGCTCACTTTGTGATAGGAAGCCTGTAGCAAGCTGTGTGTTGCGCACGATCTGTTAAACTGTTTAGGTTACCTTTGGCCTAGGGGTTTCGCGCTGCTCAAATGAAGGCTCACCAAAGGCGAGCAGGCTGCCGTTTATTCCAGGCCATAGAGGGGGCGCTGGTAAGCCTTGACCAGTCGACCTATGTCGCCCGCCTTGTGACAGCGCCACCCCAACCACATGGTAAGCATCAAAGGCGTCACTGACTCCATAATGTACACCTCGGGCAGCGTGCCAGTGAACCTGACGGCCGTTGAACATCAATGAAATTCCGGGACCCACAAACCAACACCCCACATCCCCCGACACAGGCCGCTAGAAAAACAGTTGGCTGCGGAAAGAAGTTAGCTGGACGTCCATCAGGAAAGAATTTCCATGCGTTGTGTCAAAGTTGTAGGTCTCTTCTTCAGTCCACAACAGAAGACTCAAACACAAAGATAGGGAGACATCAGCAGAAGTCCAAACATTCAAAACATCCAGCGAAAAAACGCCAATGGCAGAGCGGCCCAACATTCACAATCTTACACATAATTCCGCACACATCCTCTGCCTCAATTGGGCTGGCTACTTATTCGCAATGTTCCAGCCCAGAAGTGCCAAGAGCCTTCGTCAAGGCAGGATTTTGTTTAATCGAGTAATTATGGAAAACTCCAGAGCTGTCGGATGCTTTTGAAGCAGAACTGAACTACTAGATTAACACGCTACAGCACCAATGGCCGCAGCTTCTGGCCTTGCAGATGGAGCAACTACACTCGACCACCCGACAGGGCTGGGCCTATGTGCGCATCTCCAGCTTTCCATATCCACCCACCACTCGCCACAAGATTGACACGCTTAGCCGCTTTCACGACCGAATTGATCAATGTAGAGACTACGGAAACACACGCACGTCAAGTCACGCGCTGCACAGTGACCTGCTGTTTTGACTCGGGCCCGAAATGAGACACGATGCAAGATGCAGAGCATGCAAGCAAGCCAGCATGACAAAGCGCTCAATGACCGCAACTACACGTTCCAGTCTTGTCCGCGGACCGCTTCAAACATATCAACAACAAGATGCTTCTACCTGTGACTCATTGCCTTGCGTGGTCTACGTCTCGCCGAAGCGACCGCGGCCGGAGCTGAAGGACAACCAACAACTGGCAGGACTTCAGCATAGCGATCAGGAATGGACTGGCAAAAGACACAGGTCATAACACAAGCCATATTACAAGAAGGAGTCCTGGAACAAGTGGCGATGATTTCACCAAGAATGCAGCTTTCTTGGGCAATCGCCACGAACACCAACATAGCAAAGATCGCGCGCAAACCACCTCATTAATTCCAATCGCTTTTCAATTCCGGTTGATGAGTCATTGCCGTGAGTATCGTCGTTGCGGATAATTCTGACGAGGTGAGCGGGTCAACGTCTCACACGGTCGTGACCTGTCAAACTACATCAGTGCAGATCAAAAGCAAGAAGCACAAAGATCACGATTCTCCATTGGAAGTGCGTGTGGCTGCGGAAAATGATTCGTAGCCGAAGGTCAAACATGTGTCTGTGTTTGTTCCCAGTTTCCTTCGGCATGGTTCTTCTTGCAAACATGTATATATCTTCTATAGGTGGGCTCAAGGCTCTTCTTGCGCACATGCTAGACTGGGGAAAAGAGCGCTTACAGGATGGAGATCGACATCATGTAGCCATGACACATCCCTGAACATCCATCACCGGTTGCTTCCTTATGTTCTGAAATGGATCCGGAGGCATGGTTGAAAATGTGGGCTAATCCTTTTGGGGTGGGTAGTCCCCTGTGCGGGCCAAAGGGCCCCCCAATAAAGCAAGGGCCCCCGTCAGTTAGGCAGCCTCAAAGAAACACAACACCAAATTTGACGCGCGTCTGGCGCCGCGCCTGTCCACGTCCAGCTGCGCGTCGCAAAGCTGGGACACCATGTTTGCGTCCCCGGACAAAGCCGCGCAGGCCATCGGAGTCATACCACGGGTTGAAGCCTTGCGAGCTTAGGGGGGTCCGCGGGCTGGCTGGGCGAAGAAACACTTCTGCCAAGCCAAGGTGGGATGGGAATACCCTTATGGCTGGCCCAGAGACCAATTGTCCATAGCCATGACAACAGAATTCCCCAATCAAAAAACGGCCAAATATAGCAGAGGCAATGAGCGATCTGTTCCTTTGCAATTTTACGAAATCGGATACGGCCAAAATCCGGAAAGCCACCATTTGCCTCCAAACATGCCGTTTGCGCTAGCCCGCTTTGCGCAAGTCCTCTTTGCCTATGGCAGCCCAAGAACTTGCGAAAAAGGGCCTACAGACTTCACGCGTCGCCATTTGATAACCAGGACACTGCCAAGCCAAAGCGCCAATCCATGTTCAACGAAAACAAGTCCAGGCAGTCGGGCCGTCCCGGACAACCCTTTGCGCCAAGAAGCAAGAGATTCGAACCTAAAGTCTCGCTGAAATTCTTCCTGAGCGGAGAAACGTCAAGCCCGCAACACTTACTTGCTTCTGCCACATAGACAATCTATGGGGTAGGGCGTTCCACACATGACCCCTCCGGAAGGATGATAAGCACGAAAAAGCACCCTCCAGTGAGTTTGGGCGTTTGTCTCCTTTTTCTCAACGGATTCAGGCACTTGACAACTTGCAAGAGCTTAGCCAAACTAATACCCGCCACATTTCCGTACGCACAACTGTGCGTAACGTCCGGGCTGGAGTTTTGGATTCTTGAAAATTCAGGTCAAAAGGTTGTTTGGACCTGAGCTTCTGGAGATCGCTGCCGACAAGGTCGGCCAAGTAGACTGTCGTACCTGGCTACGTAGTAGCGGTAGAGGTTCCACTTCTTCGTGTCCTTTGGCTGCAGGTGGGATGCGGCAGCTCCGAGAGTTGTGGAATTGCATTTTGAAACAAGTGAAGCAACACCTTTAGCTTCGTGCTTGAGGGCATTTCCCCATTCGTCCCCATTCACGGGGGCAGTGGACACCAAAAAAGGTCATCTCCATGAGAGCGGCACCCAAAGCCTCTGACTGGCCAAAGCCCTGCAGCGACTCGCATCATCTAACATCATAGGAATTGCCATTCTGGAAGGTCGTTCTATGTTGACATCCAAAGCCAGATTGATAGCAAACAGCAAGCAAACAATTGCAAGTGAGTCCACTGCTGGTTAGAGCAATGAAAACCGTGTTGGAAGCTCTAAAAATGTCGGATGCGTTCGTCTCGAGCGTGATGAAAGTCACAACGACTGCGATAATATTGGTCGTTCACATGAACTCACTTCAAGGGAAGCCCGTCGGTATCACAGAAAGCGGCAACCTAAAACTCAAGTTTCCAGAAACACGCTCGATGAAAACCTGTCCTTCAAGAGCCGCAGCTTAGAGTGCAAAGCCTTCTCCATGACACTTAGCACAACCTCAGGCTGACCGAAATACGGCAGAAAAGGGGATCTCCTAGTACAGTAGCACGCGAACCAAGCCGGAAATAACGGAATCACTAAGCCTGAAACTTAAAGCCCGATTGGTGAGCTTGTAACTTTCGGAGCCATCATCCTCCTGTCAAATGACCGGTGTCGCACTGCTTGCCTTTCCAAGCCAAACTTGGGCAAACACCCCCAGCAGAAGGTTGTCGTCAAGCGTCAATCTCCTCAAATCGGACTTTTTACACGGACTTTCACTAAATAAGAAGGGCTCTGCCACGCATCCAAGTGAGGAAAACACGCGTATGCTTGTAAGCTATTCCCTGCCCTCGTGAAAGACCGATCCACCATCCACCCTGCCGAGGAGCCCGTAGCCCCCCTCGTTTCCGGACGGTTGCACAAGGTTGCTTCACCTGCTTGTTTGCGCGATCTATGGTTTGCACAGGTGCCCACAAAAAATGGCTACTGCCCCCGCCCCGGTTTTCCTATGAAGCAAACAAAGCAGAATTAATAAGCAGGCGGCAGTTTTCTCACCAGCGCAAACAACATACAACCCAACCAACCTTCCAAACAACATGCAGCACAACCAGCAGTCCATTGTTTGGACACAAACCTGTGAGACGGTGATCACCGACAAGTTCTGATCATCCCAACGAAATGTATCAAACAAAGGCTGCTCCATCCAAACAGGAAACCACACCTGATTAGCCTAACCAACTTGAGGACTAAAAGTTGGCATCACGTGGCTGGCTGCCAGAAAGGGCGGGCGACATGCAATACGTCACCTGCGTCTACGACAATGTTTTCAACTTGGGGAAAGCAATGCCCTCCCTACCAAGGGGAGGTGAACAACTGGCGCTCAATCCTGGGCTAACATTGCTTGCAAGCCGCTTCGCGATCCTTCGTGTAGGAGAAGGCACCATCCTGCGGGGGGTTGTCAAGCCAGTGCATAGGCACCACGAACTCCACTTTATCCGCCGCGGTGACTAGGACCATGGGAATCTCGACGTTGGCCTCATCTAAACCAAAGTTTCCACAGTCGCATTTCGCTTAGACAGGCCAATGGCCAAGCATTGGGCTGAACAATTGCACGAACCCAAAGTTCAAACAAACCAACCAACAGACTGCCAAACCAGGCAATTAGCTCACCAGCCGTGCGATCAATTAACCAGCCAAGCAGTGAGCCGATCAACCAGCCACCAAGTCAACCAATCACAACTGGAATCACTACCGGCCGCTTCGTCAAGTAGCCAAACTTTCGCCGGGCAAGTCAATAAACAAAAAAGCAATCAACCGAGCAAATCATGTCAAATCAAGCCAAATCAGGCTACATATGAATGAATGAATGAATGAATGAATGAATGAATGAATGAATGAATGAATGAATGAATGAATTAATTAATGAATGAATTCATGAATGAATGAATGAATGAATGACTGAATGAATGAATGAATGAATGAATGAATGAATGAGTGCATGGAGCAACGAATGAATGAATGAATGAATGAATGACTGACTGAATGCATGAATGCATGAATGCATGAATGCATGAATGCATGAATGAATGAATGAATGAATGAATGAATGAAGAAATGAAGGAATGACTGCAGGAATCAACGACTGGATGAATGAGATGAACATGAAACACAATTTAAGAAGGAAGAAAGGAAGGCAGGCAGGAAGGAAGGAGGAATGAATGAATGAATGAATGAATGAATGAATGAATGAATGAATGAATGAATGAATGAATGAATGAATGAATGAATGAATGAATGAATGAATGAATGAATGAATGAATGAAATGAATGAATGAATGAATGATGAATGAATGAATGAATGAATGAATGAATGAATGAATGAATGAATGAGATGAACATGGAGCAACGAATGAATGAATGAATGAATGAATGACTGACTGAATGCATGAATGCATGAATGCATGAATGAATGAATGAATGAAGAAATGAAGGAATGACTGCAGGAATCAACGACTGGATGAATGAGATGAACATGAAACACAATTTAAGAAGGAAGAAAGGAAG